AGTGAATAGTACGTCTAAGTAACCTAAACCTCTTAGACCCCATGGCTTCTGCAACCTGGGTGATCCTAAATGCACTTTTCCAATAGTCTTCGAGTGATGGTAATGGAACAATACCCATGAACAACAAAATACCTATGAACCTCATGATCTCTTCAGAATCTGTTGCAAAATTATTATTTATGTTTTTTTGCTTGGAATACAAATTTGTTTGATATGCTATGTTATCTACCATGTCTGGAGTAAAGAAAATACAAAAATACTCATATGGAGACCTAATTACAAGAGGCTTTTCATGTTCATATGCCGGCAAAGGATCATTTTTTATGTCAACCTGGGACCACTGAGATGGAGCTTGAAGAGCAATATCCTCATGAATATCTTCCTCATCAGGGTACTCCTCAATCATAATACCTTTCTTTTTCTTCAATAATTTCTGCTTTTTGGCTGGCCTTTCTTCCTCCTCATCATCACTTGACACCTCTGCATCCGGTGGCAAGTATTCATCACCACTATCCAGCAATTCTGGGTCATCTACCTCTGGTTCTGAGTCACTGTCATCCAAAATGCAGACATATTTCAACCTTGTGCTGGAGGGCTCCCCATAAAACAATTTCTCATTGATCTGGAAGGACAATAAAAGCCTTCTGTATAGATCCAGACCACTACAGAATTCATATATGCAATAGAAATTTTTTTATAAATATTTATTTTACTGAAATTGTACTATGTCGCTTCTCGGGCAGGTACGAAAATTTTCGTACTTCCTTTGTTGTACTTTTTTCAACTGTGTGCTACACTCACATTATGCTTCACACGGACTTTATGTATATATCAAAATATGCTTAAACTATTCATGTACGCACTAAACACGACAATCAGTACTTACCGACATTGTAGAAGGTAAAATCCAAGAGTATATTAGTGGCACTGGATGGAAAAAACCCACTCTGGGCGACGCCAAGCCACGAGTGTTTATGTTTTGATCTCTCAACCAATGGGAAGGCAGCAAACGCCATCATCACTTAGCTGAAGCGACTCGGGGAAGGCTTGTGATTGGTTAGAATTAAAGAACGGGAATCCAGATGCGCGGCGCGTGTAGGATGACACGCGTAAAGGTGCACGTGTTTAAGTAGGAAAATTTTCGGACCTGCCCGACAAAGGGTTAACAACGGAGTTCTGTTCCTAAGACCACGTTGGTAAACGAATTTGTCGCTAAGTGAGGAGCATACAGTACTATAATGGTAGTGGGTTTGTGTCAGCTATCTTTGATATTGTTTTAATGTTACCTTTGCACCATTTATAATATTTCTGGTTTATTTGTAAATGTTCATACAGTAGTGTACTGTGTATTGTAATAAACAGAATAGAGAAAATCTGCTCTAGTATACGTTATTTAGGCATGCATACTGGTCAGCGAGCCCATCGTAAGTTCGAGGCATTGGTAAACTAGTACGTTGCTAAATGAGGAGATGCTGTATACAGTAATGAAGTAAAATTAAGGTTAAGTTGAGCATTCTTAAATTATTTAGAAGTTTTTTGAATAGCTTTTGAGTAACTTGTAGGTATTGAGTATGGTTTGACTGAATTTTGGGTGATGAGGTGATTTCTAAGTAGAGCCTTAAAATGATTTGCAGACAGGGGTCCTTTAGTGTGTTCTGGCAATGAATTCCAGATCTTAGGGCCCTTTATGTGCATAGCATTTTTGCATAGGGAGAGATGGACATAAGGGATATTGAAGAGTGATTTGTGCCTTGTATTATTTAGGAGGAGTTTGAGAGGAGGGTTTATATTTGAGTGTAGTGTTCTGTGTATGTAGTAGGCACAATAATAAGTGTGGATGTTTTGTATATTAAGCAAGTTAAGACTCTTGAAAAGTGGCAGAGTATATTGTCTAGTGCTGGAGTTAGTTATCAATCGGACTGCAGCTTTATGTTGGGTTATTAAAAGTTTGAGGGGATTTGCTGTGGTAGAGCCCCCTGCACAAATACCATAGGTATGGTAAGGGTAAATGAGAGAGTGGTACAGAGCAAGAAGAGCTGATTGGGGTATGTAGTACTGTATCTCTGAAAGGATGCCTGCTGTTTTGGAGACTTGAATATTTGCTGTATGTGTGTCTAGAAATGGGTGAACCATTTATCATTATGTTTAGCTGTACATTTGAAGCTCTGTTTCCAAATATGTATCATGAAGTAAGTTTTATCTGTATTGAGAGTAAGTTTGTTGGTAGTCATCCAAGTAGATATTTTTAGCAATTTGGCATTTACATTATTATTATTATAATCAAAGGGGAAGCGCTAAACCCGGAGGATTATACAGCGCCTGGACATTTACAGTGTCTGTTAGTATGGTTGGATTTGGGTGAGAGAAGACATAAGTAGTGTCATCTGAAAATGATATGGGTTTAAGGAGTTTGGATGTGTTTGGTAGATCATTGATGTAAATGAGAAAGAAGTGGGCCAAGGACACTCCCTTGTGGGACCCCAACGAGAACAGGTCGAGTAGTAGAGTGAGCTCCATTTGTGTATACATACTGGTTTCTATTGCTAAGATAGGATTTTAGGTATTTGAGTGAGTGTCCTCTGATTCTGTAATGGGCTAACTTTTGGTGCAATAGGTCATGGTCAACTGTATCAAAAGCTTTATGTAAGTCTATGAAAATTCTTTTTTTCCGAGTGCCATATATATTAGTTCTAGCATATGTATAATTGCATCATTAGTGCTTTTTTTTTTTTTTTGGTCTGAATCCAAACTGCCTAGGGTTGAGTATGGTGTGGGATACTAAGTAAGAGTAGACTTGTTGGTAAATTAATTTTTCAAAGATTTTAGATAGAAGGGGCATGTTCAATATAAGCCTATAGTTGTTCAGTTCAGTTGGATCACCTCCTTTGAGGATTGGGCTGAGCCTTGCTGTCTTGAGTATGGATGGGAAGGTGGAAGATTCAATGGATTTGTTAAAGAGAGTTGCAATAATTGTTGACTATACATGAGAAGCTTTTTTTATACATCAGTGGTGGTAAGTTATTTAGGTCTCCTGCCTTGTTCTTTAATGTTTTGATGATGAGTGAGATATCAGTATAGTTAGTTGCTGCTAAAAAAAGAGTATTTGGGTAGTTGCCAGTGAGGTAGTCTTTTGGTTGAATGTTTGAGCTTGGGATTCTGCTTGCTAGCTTTTTTCCTACGGTCGAGAAGAAGACATTAAGTTTGTTGGCAGTATCACTTGATTGGAGGGGAGGTTCTTCTAGTTTCATTAGGTTGATCATTCTGTTTTGTGACATCGTTTTAAATCCTAGAATTTCAGATAAGGTTTTCCAGGTCTATCACCTTTTATGCTATGTAATTTGTTTTTGTAATACTTCTTTTGACCTCCTTATTAGGGTGGTAAGTATTGACGAGTAACGTTTAGCCAGATCTCTGGTTATTAGACCCATTGTATACTGTTTTTCATATAGTGTAGATGTTTTTTATCGTTAGATTTGAGGATGCTGCTTGTAAGCCAGGGGCTGTTAAGTCTCTTTGCTGTGATCTGCTTAGTTTTTATAGGGCAATGCATGTTATAGGGGGTTTTGGGTTTTTTGTAAGAAAATATTAAAACATTCATCTGTGTCAAGATCAACTGCTAGCTCATTTTGCCAGTCAATGTTACTAATTGCTGTAATAAAGCTATTAACAGATGAATCATCATGCAGTCGGAAGGTGATCTAGTTGTGTCCTGAGGCCATTTACTTAAGTTGATTATGAGAAAGGTGGGATAGTGGTCAGTGGTGTTATCTATGATTATGCCTGATGTTAATGGGGATATAGTGTTTGTCCAGATGTGGTTTGGTAAAGAGGCATTAATCTCTGAGATTCTTTTAGGTTTTGTTATTGTTGGCAGAAGTAAGCAGCTGCTCATAGTGTTTGAGAATTCAGTTACATGAAGGTCATGGTCATGGAGGAGGTTTGTTAAAGTCCCCTGATAATATCAGGTGGTGGTTGTTCATTTGTGTATCAGTTACCATGTTTCTTAGTTTTCACTAAATGAGTAAATATTGGAGTGAGGTACTCTGTAGATAGCTCCAACTGTTAAAGGTTTTTTGAGGTCTTGGGATTTAAATTTAGCAAATATATATATTCACCATGTTTGTCCCTTGTGCAAGTAGAATTTATACATTCAGGCTCATCAGAGTAGTATATAGTTGTGCCACCTCCTAGTTGGTCTGGCCTACAGTTGTGTATGGCTGTGTAGCCAGGTATGGTATAGATGTTTGGCTGACAAATATTTGATAAATATTTTCCAACTATTTTATTTTTGGTATGCACACTGTCACATTTTTCTGTTTATTAATACAAATTTTAATTGCTGTTGACCAGAATTTTTCATGTCACTTAGATAAAATAAAAATAGTGATTTGTAAAGTAATTTAATAACTGGAAATTATAAATAGTTTTTTATAAACACAGTTGTGAATTTTATCAAGGGCTTAAATTAAGGTTAACTGACCAGTGGCAGTGCCAAGGAATGCATAGGAGAGTGAAACCCCCAAAGCCCTTTCAAACAAAAATAATAATAATGCTGCTTGAAGATAAGTTTCCCTATCCCAATTCCCCTAATCCCCTACCTATGATGAACTTCCAGTACCATCCCTGCTAGTGACCACAAATAAAAACTTAAAAAAAAATAACTTCTGTTGTCTTGATAATGTATTTTCTTTCATTATTTAATAAAATTATTATCAGAGCTAAGTGCTTGTCTAGAAACCCTTTATACATATAATACATAATTATTTGGTTTAGCGCTTCTTTTTGATTATAATAATAATACATAATTATTCTTGAAGAGCCAGATTATCACCAAGACCTATACTATAATTTAACTGAAATTTCTAAGTATCAAAATTTTATATGTTTGAAGATGCAAGATTAATTTGTAGGGCTTCACTATATACTACTTCCATATACTGGAAGGCAAACAAGAATGATGAATTGCTCTTTTCAAACTTAACTAAATCATTTGTCCTTAGGTTGACTTTGACGAGCCTGATGCTGAAAAGTTTCCTGGTGTGAAGCAGCTTGAAGGAGTGGAGGCTGTAGTAGGACCTGGTGATGTTCTCTATATACCCATGTACTGGTGGCATCACATAGAGAGTTTACCCAACCTTAGTCACACTGTGTCAGTCAACTTCTGGTACAAGGTAAGCAGTAAACTCACCACGTTCCAGGTGGAGGTAGAACCGTGGCCAGTGAGTCATAAAGTTCCAGGGCAATGCACAAGTCACTCGGCCAGCTGGATGAATCTTATTATAGCCAGCTGGCTCAGTGGCTTATGCACTGGCCTGGAGTTTTACGACTCGCTCGCCATGAATTGAAACCCAACCCACTCCGTGGTTTGTTTACAATCATGTCATGATTTCACGAGTTAAGCAATAAACTCACTTGGCAATACTCTACTTTCTGTTTACAGTATTTACAGTATTATGGTATAAAGTATTCATATAAAAAATAATATCTGATAATGTCTCAGACTTTTTTTACAATTGACTTTATTATCCTGTTATTCACAGGTTATTTATTATCCTGTTATTCACAGGTTGTTTATTATCCTGTTATTCACAGGTTGTTTATTATCCTGTTATTCACAGGTTGTTTATTATCCTGTTATTCACAGGCTGTTTATTATCCTGTTATTTACAGGCTGTTTATTATCCTGTTATTTACAGGCTGTTTATTATCCTATTATTTACAGGCTATTTATTGTCCTGTTATTTACAGGCTGTTTATTATCCTGTTATTTACAGGCTGTTTATTATCCTGTTATTTACAGGCTATTATCCTGCTATTTACAGGCTATTATCATGTTATTTACAGGCTGTTACCCTGTTATTTACAGGCTGTTTATTATCCTGTTATTCACAGGCTATTATCCTGTTATTTACAGGCTATTATCCTGTAATTTACAGGCTGCTGTCCTGTTATTTACAGGCTGCTAGCCTATGTTGCTCAATTCAACTACCAGCCCTATCTAAGGTCTGCTACTGCCCTTTCCCCTCCCCCACTCACTTTTCCTAGGGTGTAATCCACAACGGTTGACTAATACATAGACACCTATTTACAGCTAGGTGAACAGTGGTATAAGGAGATTTGCCTATATGTCTTGCCCTGCCTGGGAATTTAACCCCATGTTCTTTTGCTTGTGAGCAAAGTGCAGATCTACCATTGAGCTACTGGTCATGTATCAGTGTAGAACCTTCTACTGAGTTGTGCCAGAGTGAAGTATTTATTTTAGATTTAGTCTCAGTATTTAACCCTTTGACTGTTTTTGACGTATAAATACGTCTTACGAGCCAATGTTTCTGACGTATATATACTCAATAATTTTAGCGGCTTCAAATCAAGCGGGAGAAAGCTGGTAGGCCCACATGTGAGAGAATGGGTCTGTGTGGTCAGTGTGCACCACATAAAAAAAATCCTGCAGCACACATTGCGTAATGAGAAAAAAAAAACTGATCGTTTTTTTTAATAAAACACCGACTTTGAGGTGTATTTTCGTATAGTATTTATCGTTGTATTCGCGTTTTCATGGTCTTAGGTGATAAAATGGAAAACATATTACAGAAATAGAGATGATTTTCATTACTTTGATGATGAAAACAACCTTGAAACTGAGCTCAAATTAGCGGAAATGTTCGATTTTTACCAATGTTCAGGAGTAAACAAATCACACCACACGTCCAATACACGTCAACTGGGGAGTCTAATATTCCTTCACTAGTGCACTGATATTATTTATACCATTTTTACAATAATGCAGTAGTCTGCATAACAGTAAATTTTGTATTTTTTTGCATGAATAAAAAATCCAAATAGAAAGCAATAATAATATAAGAGGGGCCTAGAGATGTGACCAATGAACAGAGGATATGCTATTTTAGTGCCAAGAATGTCTACCTTGTTTATTCTGGACCCTATTTTGAAATTGGCATCTTTTTTAATTTGTGTGAAATTGGCCAAATTGCCAATTTCTGACCACTATATTGGGTAGTTCAAATTGGTAAATGGGCGGTTTCTTGTACTCGGCTGATAGATAAAATGGAGTTCTAAAGAAATAGTTATGAGTTTGGTCAACTGGAACAACAAAATTGGCTGAAAACAGGGCTCAAAGTCGGCGAAATCGCTTATACACGTATATCGCCGATTCCGCTAACTTCACGGGAGCGTAATTCCGTGAGTTTTCGACCAAATTTCGAACTTTTGGTGTCATTACCATCAGGAAAAGATTCTCTTATCATTTCATAAGAAAAAATAATTTTTTTTTTTCGAATATTTGGCGACATAGAATGACAGTTTCAGAAAGGGGCCTGAAACAGTCAAAGGGTTAAGAGTTCGTTATTTTTTCACTACCGGTCATTCCCTACTAAGGTAGTGACTCAAAGAAGGAAACATTCACATTCAGTAGACATTTTTTCATAAGTGAATGGGCATTACAATTCCAACGGCCCTCTGAATCACATTCTAATTGTGTGTGCTGAGTACGTCTGTATTTATTCAGTGCACACAAGACTAACCACATTCCTGTAGTCATGGTAACCAAAGCCACTTAGTGGTGGTATACAACCCAAGATAATCTGGTAACCATTAGATGTGTTGGTGCATACTGATTTTTCAGTGGAGGGTAAATTGGGAAATGATTCAGTTGCTTAATTTGTTGTAACCATTTCATCCAACTAGATTCTCAGGTAAGGAGTGAAACTTTTTTTTTTTTTTTTTTCAACGAACTGGCCATATCCTACTAAGGCAGTGTGACCTAAAAAGAAAAACAAAAATTGTTCTTATTAAATTTAGTAATTTATACAGGAGAAGGGGTTACTAGCCCCTTGCTCCTGGTGTTTTAGTCATCTCTTATGACATGCATGGCTTATGGAGGAAGAATTCTTTAGCTGCAATTAATTCCATTGTAATCCCTGGTTCTTTGTGATATTTTATGTTAGCTGTTTATTCTTAACCCTTTCAGGGTCAGTGTTGTAGATCTACGGCTTTACGTTGAGGGTCCAAACCGTAGATCTACGCCATGAGCTCAGCTCACTCTGATAAGCTGTGAGCAGTAGATTTGGGCCTAGATATGAGAGAATACATCTATGTGGTATGTGTGCACCACACAAAACAAATCCTGCAGCAGAGTGCATAATGAGAGAAAAAACTGAGACCGTAATTTTCGATTAAAACAGCGACTTTGCAGTGTTTTTTCGTATGTTTTTTATAGTTGTATTTGCGATTTCTTGGTCTCATATTGATAGAATGGAAGATATTTTACAGAAATAGAGGTGATTTTGATTGGTTTTAGTACTGAAAATGGCTTGAAACTGAGCTCAAAGTAATGGAAATGTTAAATTTTTGCCGACGTTCAAGAGTAAACAAATGACCTCACACATCTAATACATGCCATCTGGTGGGTCTAATATATGTTCACAATTGTGGTGATATTATTTATACAATTATTATAATATTGCATAACAGTAAATCTTCTATTTTTTGGTTTGAATAAAAATTCATTAGGTGAATAAAAAATCAAACCGGAATTCATTTGTAAAACCTGAAAACATAACTAATGAACAGAGGAAATGTTAGTTTAGTTACAGGAATGCTTGCATTGTTTATTCTGGACTCTGTTTTGAAATTGGAATATTTTGAACTTTGCATTAAATTGGCTAAATTACCAATTTCCGATCACTTTACAGTGGACCCCCGCATAACGATCACCTCCGAATGCGACCAATTATGTAAGTGTATTTATGTAAGTGCGTTTGTACGTGTATGTTTGGGGGTCTGAAATGGACTAATCTACTTCACAATATTCCTTATGGGAACAAATTCGGTCACTACTGGCACCTGAACATACTTCTGGAGTGAAAAAATATCGTTAACCGGGGGTCCACTGTATTTTGTAGTTGAAACAGTTGAAACAGTCAAAGTCGGCAAAATCGCAGATGCGTAAATATCGTTGACACATCAAAATTTGCGAGACCGTAATTTTGTCAATTTTCCATCAAATTTCATACTTTTTGTTTTATTACCTCCAGAAAAAGATTCTCTACCATTTCATAACAAAAAATAACAAAAATCTTTTTTGAAAACTCTTGGACACTGGTGCACCCTTTGAAATTTGGCCTCTGGACCCTGAAAGGGTTAAGTTGCTTGTGTTGAAATCCTTGTACATTCATAAATATTGAACAGAATGATTTGATGAAGGAAGAATGTATACGAAAGCAAAATACTTGGCAGACGATGCAACATCCCCCCAATGAAAAGCAGGGGTGTCACTAGCATGTTAAGAGACCATACAATAAGTGTCAGGGGCCCGAGACTGTTCAACTGCCTCCCAGCATACATAAGGGGGATTACCAACAGACCCCTGGCAGTCTTCAAGCTGGCACTGGACAAGCACCTAAAGTCGGTTCCTGACCAGCCGGGCTGTGGCTCGTACGTTGGTTTGCGTGCAGCCAGCAGTAACAGCCTGGTTGATCAGGCTCTGATCCACCAGGAGGCCTGGTCACAGACTGGGCCACGAGGGCATTGACCCCCGAACTCTCTCCAGGTAAACTCCAGGTAAACATGAATCACCCAAGTTATTTCTGAGTAAAGTGGAACCTTGGTTGTCAAACTTAATTCGTTCCAGGTGTCGATTCGACAACCAAAATGGTCAACAATCAATCCAGTTTTTCCCATAAAAAATAATGTAAATAGAATTAATCCATTCCAGACCAAAAATGACAATATAATTATAATTTTTTAATAATAATATCTTTATTTCTACTACCATATAGAAAGCCACTTGTTATGCTGAGCATTTCAGGCAAATTAGGTCAGTTTTGTCCTAGGATGTGACCCACACCTGTCGACTAACACCCAGGTACCCATTTTATACTGTTGGGTGAACAGGGGCAGCAGGTGTCTTATGGAAACGTGTCCCTAATGTTTTCCAGCCGTACCGGAGATTCAAACTCTGGACCTCAGTGTGTGAGCTGAGTGCGCTGGCCACTACATAAAACAATGTATAAAATTATACAGCACATGGAAACTGTAAAAATGAATACTAAATGAAAATTTAACTGAAATATTGTACAGTAAATGAAAATTTAATTGCCTCTTACCTGTCAGAGGAGAGTTAATGGCTAAATTCTAGAGCTTCAAATCTTGCAGGAGAAATCTGGTAGGCCTGCATGTGAGAGAATGGATCTACATGGTCAGTGTGCGTGGTATAAAAAAAATCCTGCAGCACGCAGTGCATAGTTAGAAAAAAAACAGCGACTGTGTTTTTGGCTTAAAACGCCAACTTTACGGTTTATTTTCTTATGGTATTTATGGTTGTATTCTCATTTTCATTCTCATTGGATAGAATGGAACATATATTACAGAAATAGAGATGATTTTCAATGGTTTAAAGAATAAAAGTAATTTGAAATTGAGCTCAAAATAGTGGAAATGTTCGATTTTTGCCATCCAATACATTTTGCATCCAATACATATCAACTTGTGGGTCTGATATGCATTCACGAATGCGCTGATATTATTTATACAGTTGTTACAATTATGCATTAGTCTGAATAACAGTAAATCATCTGTTTTTGCGTGAATAAAAATTCAAAAGGAAAAGCAAGAGTAATATAAGAGTGGCCTGGAGACATGACAAATGAACAGATAAAATGATATTTTAGTGCCAGGAATGTTTGCATTGTTTATGCTAGACCCTGTTTTGAATTTGGCCTTTCTTGAATTTTGTGTGAAATTGGCCAAATTAGTAATTTCTGATCACTTTATTGGGTAGCTGAAATAAGTAAATAGGCAATTTCTTGTACTTAATCGATAGAATAAAAGGAGTTCTAGCGAAATAGCTATGAGTTTAGTTGACTGGAACAATGGAATTGACCCAAAATTAGAGCTCAAAGTGGGTAAAATGCCAGTGCATAAATATCACTGAGACCGCTAACTTTGCGATAGCGTAATTCCGTAAATTTTCCATCAAATTTTGTACTTTTGGTTTCATTACCTTCACGAGATGCACAGCAAGAGCTCAAGAGATGTTTACAGCACGCGCATTAATTGCCATACTGACTGAGACTCACACTGTGGACTCTGGTGATCACGTGATCCAAGCATTGTCAATCGACAACCAAGACCATGTATAAAAACCAAATCAAAATCTATTCAAAAACCAATTTGTTCGACAACTAATCCGTTCGACAATTAAGGTTCCACTGTACAGTAATTACTTTTCTTGTAATTTTTTTGACTTATTGGTCATTGCATATAGCATGGCCCAGTAATGCCGACTTGCGACACAAGTACTGGAGTTGTAAATAATCCCCACCTGTCCTTCAGAATGTAATCACTGTACCTCGTAACTCCAGAACTTAAATCCTGCTAGTGTAAGCTTCACTGTTCCTTTGATCACACCTTTGTATGCATTGTAATAGAATTTGTATTTCAGGGTGGTCCAACAGAGAAGATAGAGTATCCCCTCAAACCACGACAAAAATTAGCAGTCATGCGCAACGTTGAAAAGATGCTACTAGAAGCCCTGAAGGAGCCAGCAGAAGTGGGGCCTCTTCTGCGGGCATTAGTGATTGGCAGATACACTGGTGAAGAAGCTGAGCTGCAAGAAGGAAAACTGTAATTTGGTGCTACAAAGGCTAGTGATTTATTGTGTAATTTTACATGGTACCTGTAATAAGCCAGTGGAGTTGTATGTCATACAGGATTTTATATTTTTTTTGGTTATGTAGTTTGGTCCTGTCTGAGGGCAATGTGTGTTGTGAATATAATGCAGAGAATCCATAGTTTGGAAATTAGGAGGAGGTGCAGGATTACCAAAACTGTTATCCAGAGGGCTGAGGAGGGGTTATTGAGATGGTTTGGACATGTAGAGAGGATGGAATGAAATAGAATGGCTTTGAGAGTGTATAAATCTGTAGTAGAGGGAAGGCGGGGTAGGGGTCGGCCTAGGAAAGGTTGGATGGAGGGGGTTAAGGAGGATTTGTGTGCAAGGGGCTTGGACTTCCAGCAAGCGTGTGTGAGCGTGTTAGATAGGACCAAATGGAGACAAGTGGTTTTTAGGACTTTACGTACTGTTGGAGTGTAAGCAAGGTAACATTTATGAAGGGATTCAGGGAAACCGGCAGGCCGAACTTGATTCCTGGAGATGGGAAGTACAGTGCCTGCACTGTGAAGGGTGTTAATGTTGCAGTTTTATAACTGTAATTTAAGCACCCCTCTAGCAGAACAGTGATGGAGTGAATGGAGTGAATAATAGTGGGAAATGACCGATGTGTTAATAAAAACAAAATAGTTTGTGGATTACTGATTTGTATTATTTACTTTTTTATTGGAGAAAGATTCGGAGGCTTTATAAATGGAACCAGATACTTCAGGATCTTGCAGTATGATTTGATTACAGTCTGTCCTTATTATCCTAAAGGAGTTTTTATAGCAATTCCTTTCAAAGTTTGCCTGTTGATACATGTAGCTTTTGAAAATCTTGTTAGTAATAATTCTGCTTTTGGTCACACTTGAAGCCTCATTGATGGGCTTTGTATACTAGGCTTATACATACATATACACTTTAGGGTTGAAAATCTGATAATCTGTCTTTACCAGTAGCAGCTGTGGCAATCAATAGTGCAGTTGTCAACCTTGACAACTAGGATGCTGGTTAAAGCTTTGATCATCAATGGTGCAGTTGTCAACCTTGACAATGAGGTTGCTGGTTAAAACTTTGATCATCAAGAGTGAGTGATGGTAAATGTTTTCTCTCCTGGGTCACACTTCCTAAATGGGACTAACAGATGATTTTATAAAGCCTAAATAAATGCAGTCTGCTCATACATCCCCTGTGTATGAGTTCTGTGGCTGTCATAAGGGTTAATAGCTTTACTAAAGCAAGATCTTGCTGATCTGAGGTCAACTCTGTGGTGCTGTTTTTCCATTTATCACTAGCTTCTAATACTGTCATGAGTATTGTCCAGAGGAAATGAATATCCACTCTGTGGGTATTCATTTCTTTGGCACATTTCTGTTCAAACTCAGGGATATCTCCCTGTTTGGGTTAGTTCATGTGGCTCAAATGGAAGACTTGTTCTGAGCTTATATTTTATTAAAGGTTTCTTGTGTACATACTGAAATTTTCTTTTAGGTATCTCATTTTAATTCCTCTTAGGCTGTAATTTGGTATCTTTAAATGAGTCATGGGAATATTATGAAGGATTTTTTCTCAGGGCATTTTAAGGCAGTGGAAGTAGTGAATGCACAGTTTTAAGAATAGATAATAGGACTGAAGAGGCCAGAAACTAGAAGCATTGTTCAGTGAAGATCAGGAGGTGAGGCCAAGAGCCAAGACTCAACTCTGCTAACAGTAGTCTGTGATTCAGCAAGTGTGCACACATTCATGCAGGCATGCACCTTATATCCCTGTGAGCTGTCAAAAATAGGCTGTTGTTTTTTAAAACTCCATTAGCTTGATAAGGGTAATGAGACCCTTTGTTGCACTTCTCTCTCTTATTCTTGTTTTGATCAGAAATTTTCCATAAAATAATTATCCCCAAAGTCTTTATCGCATCATTATTATATTAACAAATTATTGTACAGCCAAACCATCAAATTTGTTTATATTCCTGAATGCAGAATTGTCCCCACATTAAAAAAATGTTCAGAGTTGAGCTAACGTTGTGATTGAAAGGCCATATCTCGCTAAGATATTTTTGCTGATCTCAGTAACATTGCCATTTCTCACCAGAGTGAGAAATATGGAGGAAAATGTAAAATAAACCCAGGGAAAATCGGGGAAAGTGGGTTTAGTGCTTTTTCTTTTTTTTTAACTTCGGCCATCTCCCACTGAGGCGGGGTGACCCAAAAAAGAAAAAAAAACTTTCACCATCATTCAACACTTTCATCATCATTCACACCTGACAGCTGTCTTTGCAGAGATGCTCAGATAAGACAATTCAGATGTCACTCCAAACAGCCAATATCCCAAACCCCTCCTTTAAAGTGCAGGACTCAAGTCCGGCTAACCGGTTTCCCTGAATCTCTCCTCAAAATATTACTCTCCTCACACTCCAACAGTTAGTCAGGACCCAAAAAACCATTTGTTTCCATTCACTATTATCTAACACACTCACACATGCCTGCTGCATGTCTAAGCCCCTTGCACACAAAATAATGAAAATCAAGGGTGTCATGGGCACAATAAGAGAACGTTGTATTAACATCCACAGGCCCTAGCTATTCAACATCCTATGATACCAGAAACACTGCAGGAACATGTGTGGAAGTCTTCAAAAGGAATCCTGACTAGTACCTAGACCAAATTCCAGATCAGCCAGGCTGTGATGAATGTGCAGCCCAGCAGGCAACCAGCAGCAACAGCCTGGTTGACCAAGCAAGTACCAGACGAGCCTGACCCAAAGCCATGCTCCATGAGTAGGAAAACTATCAATACCCATGAAGGATATTTCATTAGAATGACATGAAAGAAGAGAGAGATTTGAGAGTGGGACAGAGATTGATCACATTTTGAATAAAATCCATTGGTTTCCAAAAGAAAAGTATAAACATGCACAAATAAAGCAAAATCATCAGAGCAATTGTAAGTAAGAAGTTGAATAATTGAATCCTGCAGATTATAAAGGCTGCTAATTAGGGTGTTTGTATACAAAATATTGAGCAACATAAATATAAAATAAGTATATACACAAATCTTCAATGAAATGTGTCTGCAATTTCTAGGTACAGTAATAGTACAGACCCAGAATTATAGATAATTTAGTACAGAAAAATATATAAGCAAAGAGACTCAGCTACCTTAATCTGCTGTATTTTTCTCTTGTGCATATGCTATATTTATTGGCGGTAGCCCTTTCAGGGGTAAAAAAAAAGAAATGGCAGTATAGGGGTATCTAAGGACATGTGAAGACAGAGTAGGCAGTGGCTCTGTTAGACCATGGCAGTAGTGATCCCTGGCTTACTGTTGCTTGGCTTGGTCTGTCTGTCCTTTTTTATATTAAAATTTATACAGTCTTGAGTTCATCTCCACTTCTTCCTTTCCCAGGACATCATGCTTGTGCATCATCCTCATAATGGAGTTCTTTCTTACGTCTTGGTTTGACGTTCGGTTCATACATTATTTATAGTTTCTTTACTGTGGTCCCACTTTCAAAAAGTGACTTGATCCACTTTGCCAGTAACATTATTTTCAACAGTGTGACCGTGTTCCTGCGGCTTCTCCATCTGTGTGCATTTGTGAATGAGCATCAGTAAACAGATGAAAGAGGCATTCGTTTGTGCACATGAATAGATAGGCATTCACCAAAATGCATTTGTGTATGCAAGCTCTCTCTTTACTTGCAGGTTATACTGTTATATATATACATACTGTATACTTTAGTATGTATATGTAAGGCATTGTGGACAGTACAGTGGCAGTGATGTTTTGGTCATCAGGAAACAAGCATACCTTCCCTAACATGAGTCTTTGTGGAATTATGACTCAGTGGCTTAGCATCTGCTGCCCTGCTCCAGCTAGATCCCACAATCCATTTAAAAAGCAAAGGATAATAAGGATATGTTTGACATCTTAAAAATGGCCTTTAAACAAAGAATTATAATATATTATTACTGTTTGTTTATTAGCATAAATGTTATTTTAAGGCATTGTTTGCTGAAGTTCAAACATCACAATGTTAATGGTATATAATGCCAACAAGATGATGAATTATACAAGTGTGCAACACCTGGCTATCTGTTTTGAGACATTCCACCAACCAGTGGCTTTTTCAATTCAATACAGAGTCTGTTAACCAGAGACCATGGAAGATAAGGTAATCAGTTCATCAGCCTTAAAGGTGTTTATTACCTTAGCTTGTATTATTATATTCATGAGGGAGCACTAAACCCATAGGGGTCATACAGTTCCTAGGTGACTGGGAGGCATTCAGGTTAAGTCCAAAGAAGAACACAGGCCCAATTCCTTCAACCAAGAGTCCCTCACCAGCATCAGGGAACCTCCCTTGAGAGGTCTTAGTCTCAAGTTTTTCCTTACCTCATACAATGCCCCATATGGGGGCAACAGCAGTTCTATCCTAAACATGCATAAACATTTTTTTGGGCTTGTATGTACAGTAATTCTTATTCGTTTCAGAAAATGTATCCGTCTTCTGTTTGCTCTTCAAAAAACAGTCTTACCTTGATGCATTAATGAATTTATTGTTATTTTAGGTTATTATTGGTTAGATTTGGTTAATATTAACCCACCCTAACCAGTGAAGAGTGTATAAAGGCTTAGTCATACATGTATAATGTATAAAACCTTTGTTGGTATTAAGAGGACTGGTTGGAAATGCACACAGTCGGTTGGATCATGCTGGAGGTTTCCTTTACTGCTGCTTTTATTTCTTGAATGACTTCAAATAACTTTTCTGTTGTAATTTCCTACATGAACAAAAATTTTTGAGAATGAGATAAATTCTTAATATTATTTTTTTTTAATTATGCCAATTTGTTCATTAATTATACATAGTTGTAAACTACACTGTTTCATATATTGTGCCCTCTATGATAATTTTTTTGGGGTATAAGATGTGACAACCATTTTATGTCAATTATGATAGTGTTTTATGAAAGGTAATATGGTAATACATTGCTAAAAATCAACTAGATTATTAAACTTTCATTGATTCAATAACAAAACCCATTTCCTATATACTGTAAAATACAGTACTATAATTTATATTTAAGGTCATTGCAGTATCATTACCTTTGATAAACTATGAGTTGTAGAAGTTGTATGATGGCAGAGGAAGGTGATTCAAGTGGCCAGTGTTTAACACAGCCATGGTATTTATCTAAGGGATTTTACTATAATACAGACACACAATACCTGTGCTCAGCAAGTATCATTGTTAATACAGAAGCTTGTGTACTGTTTATATACCTGTGCTATATATAAACTGTTTATATTAGAATGTATGCTGTATACTGATATAGATGTGTGTGTGTGTGTGTATATATTTGAATGTGCATACATATGAATACATACACATATTGTATATGTATATAGATTGTTTTCTCATGAACAGTTATTGTATTTTCATGTACTTGTGCATATACAAGCTCTAGTTCCAATCTTAAATGTGCATGAAAGAATTACAACTTTATAAATGTAATTTTCTGTATTTCTCCAGTCAGGATAGTCAAAAAAGAGCTGGTAAGCTTCAATATGGTTATCTTTGATGCTTTCAGATGTAAGTTTAAATAGAATTGTTTACTGATATAAGTTTAAATGTTTGGCATGGCTTATAAAATACTTAATTTCTGTGATTTTATTTAAACTTCCATTGATTTACTGAACTATGATATGTATTGGTGGCTCAAATGGATTATTATGAGATCATGCTTATATAATTGTGTTACAGTTTTAATGAACTTTAAAAACTGGTTTTCGTTTTTTTCAGTTTGCCCTCTTGATGCTCTGAGAAATACAATAAATGTACTCTAGACATATAGTACTGTATGTCTACAGTAGACTTGGGTTCAAAACTCTGCAGTTTTGAACCCAAGTCTAGGAGTTCTTTATGACTTGGATATGAAGACAACATGCAAAAATTAGCTTTTATTGTGACTTTTGTGCACAGGGTTGAGCCTAATTGGAGGATACTTTTTTCACATAAAGTAAACGCTCTTATAAATCTCAGTACAGGAAGGCCCCACTTTACAGCACTTTGTTTTACTGATTTCACTAGTACAGTGGTTTTCAATTATACCCATTCTTCATTTATTCAGACTTCCTGTAATAAATATATTCACTCACTAAAAGCTAAGGGCAAAATATTTTAAGGTAAGTAATGTGTGTACTATGGGCAGTTTTCCTCTTCAAGGGGGGCTCCTTGGCATGGTGAAGAGGCTCTTGGTCTGAGGAATTAGACCTGTCGGTCTACTTCCTCAGACCGAACCTAATTACCCCCCAATCTCCAGTTCCCTATCCCATCCTCCCCTTTTTCCTTTCCTCCTCCTCCTCCTCCCCACCCCTCCCTTTTGCCCTTCCTTTTTGGCCTTTTTTTTTTTTTTTTTTACCACAGGCACACTAGTTCCTAGGTAGGGGAAAGGGTACCGGGGTCCATCCCATTCCATTGAGGTGCTTGGCGGTGGCGTAGTTTGCCGTGGAATCTGGATTGCCTGGGGATGTCCTGATCCCTCTCCGGTATCCCGGAGGGTGGCTTTAGGTGTCTCTCGGGCGACGGGTGTATCTCTGGAAGCCACCTTTCGGATTCCGGGGGTGGTGGCCGAAGGAGATATGCTTTGTGGCAGATTTCCGGCCGCCCTCTCTTTTGTCCACCGAAGTAGCTCGGCAGATGTGAGGTTGCTATCCCGGATTGCCGGTTTACTGGCATGATGGGTAGGGTATGGCACGGGTTCCATGCTGCATCTGCGCTACTTGCGGTGCTGAGGTCCTCTTGGGCGCGGAGGGAGATTTCTGGCCCTTTCATTCCTCCTAGGAACTATCCCTCCCCGGTCCCCCCTTTTTTTATTCTTTTTTTTTATTTTTATTTTCTTTCTTTTTTTTTCTTAAAAACAAAAAGAAAGAAGTAACCTAACCATGGCAGCCCTACTCCATGAACCTGCTACCCCCGGGCCCCTTCTTGATACCACACCCCGTTCTGACCCCGCCTCGTCTTTGGACCACCCTTCGGACACTCCTCATGCCTCTGTACCTCTTGCCGGTGCTGTTTCCTCACCTGCTTCAGGTACTGAGGCCTCGACTGACTCCTTCGATTTATCTGACCTTCGCTCTCCTCTGACTATGCTTCTGGCCTCTCCCTCTACGGTGCGGCAATTTTCGAATTGCCGGCCCGTTCCACGTCGGACCAACTCTGGTCCCACGCCTAAACGCCAACGACAATTACCTGCTGATGATACTTCTCCACCTTCTCGTTCTTCTCAGAAAAGATCGACACGTCCTTCACTACCTTTCCACGCTCAGTTTCAGACTGCACAATGGACTAAATTCTTCACTTTACGACCGACTTCCTCTACTGCCTATCTTTCTGACCACAGTATTGGCAAGGCACTCCTACGCCATGTTGGTAAAGATATTTCTTTTTATGCTCTTAAGAGCGGTACGCGCATCATCACTGTACAGAATGCTACCTAGGCTCATGAGCTTTCTCGTCTTTCCCATATCAATACTGTTCCTGTCACTATTGAAAAGCATCATTCCCTCAATTCTTGTAGTGGTACCGTCATTCTGCCCCATACCATAGTTCAACAAAATTTCCAGACATGTGGCACTGACATTCTTGAACAGCTGGAACTCCAAGATCTCCCAATCCTCAAGGTAGACACTTACGTTCTTCCTGCCCGCGGGCGGAGACGATACCCTAGCAATGTAGCTTGTTTAACTTTTGACAGCCGTGAACTCCCATCCTCAGTTTATGTAGCAGGACATCGGTTACAAGTTCGAAAGGTGATCCCTACACCGCAACAGTGTAGAAATTGCTGGCTATTTGGCCATCCAGCGAAATATTGCAGATCTATCGCCGAATGCCCAGTCTGTGGTGCCGATGACCATTCTAATACGTCTTGCAATCGACCTCCCTCTTGCCTTAATTGTCATGAGGCTCACCCTTCGTACTCTCGTCGTTGTCAAGTCTACTTAAACGAGCGAGAAATCCGTTACCTCAAAGAGGCAGAAGGTCTCCCTTATGCCATGGCAGTTTCTCATCTCCGCCTCCAAGGGAGACTACCTCGTGTTTCTTATTCCCGTGTTTCAAAACGTCCCCCCACTTCTGGTATCCCATCTTCTGCACCCACCTCTGTGGTTACCTCTCCCATAGTCACTCCTGTAGCTAATTCTTTTGCTGTCCTCGGCTCAGGACGTCCTACTTCAACGTCTCAGTCTGATCTCGCTTCTTCGTGTTCTCTCTCACAAGCCTCAGTAGCGACGAGATCTAGTATGACACCTCCTCCCAATCGTCCCTCTACTTCTCAAAAGTCAAAAAAAGGTCCATTAACACCTCCTACCCATCTTCCACCTCCTCATTTTTCCTTCCCTGTCTCTGTACCTGGTTCTCCCCCTCTCACTGGCTCTGTTACAAGTGTAGAGGTTCACCCTCCTCCTCGTACTGTACCTTCCTCCCCTGCTCCCTCCCAAGTTTCTTCCTCTTCTGCCACCTCCCAGGTTTCTGCCTCTTCTGTCCCCTTCCACGCTTCTCCAGTTCCCTCCACCCTTTCGCCCCCCCCCCCTACCTTGGTACAGTCCATTACAGTTCCAATCTTTACTCATCCTCCCCCTACCATTTCCAATATTGTCTCCCATACAACATCTCTGAATTCTGAAACACTTGAAGCAATCTCTGAATATATTGCAGAGACCAAACCATCAATGGACACTGATCCACCCTCCGCTCCTTCTCTCTCCTCTACTCCATCTGCGCAACTCCTTTCCTCACAGCGCACCGTTCCTTCGCTGCTTGAACGTTTTCCACTGCCTCCGCATGTGGACTTTTCTAACCCCTCTAGTCTGTAGGAACCCTTACCTGCGGATTTCAGGTATCTTTATCATTGCCAATCATGGCCTATTTACAGTGGAATATACGCGGCCTCAGGGGTAATCAGGATGAGCTTCAGATGTTACTCTCCCAGTTTTCCCCTGTTGGTGTTTGCTTATAGGAACCAAAATTACACTCTGCTGTTATCTCTCCCATCTCAGGCTATAATTTATTGTATTCTTCAGATCCTTTTCCTGATGGGACCTTTAATGAAAGTGCCCTTCTTCTACGCACTGATATTCCGTACCATCAGCTATTTGTTCATACTTCGCTGCATTACACAGCAGCCCGTATCCACTTGCATAGGTGGTATACGCTCTGTTCTTTATATCTCTCTCCTTCTCGGGCATTATCTATTCCGGATATAGCCTTTCTTGTTTCGTCATTACCACCATCGATTCTGTTACTTGGTGATTTTAATGCCCACCATTTCCTCTGGGGGGTCTCACTGTGATTCCCGTGGCATTCAGTTAGAGGCTTTTCTTGCCACCCACCCCCTCCATGTTTTAAATACAGGTACTCACACCCATTTTGATCCTCGGACTCGCACTCTCTCTTGCATCGATCTCTCAGTCTGCTCTTCCTCCGCCGCATTAGACTTCACTTGGTCTGTTCTTCCGGACTTACATGACAGCGATCATTTCCCAATCATTCTTACTTCCCCTTCATATTCACCACCTCTTCGCATCCCACGCTGGCAATTTGATCAGGCAAATTGGAACCTTTACTCACACCTAACTGTTTTTAGAGAGGTTCCTTCTTCGTCCTCCATCGATGAGCTTTTACACCTCTTCTCATCCTCTGTTTTAACCGCAGCTTCTCATTCTGTACCCCAAACTTCGGGCAGGCATTCTCAGAAATGCGTGCCTTGGTGGTCTCCTGCTTGTGCTTGTGCAGTACGTTTGAAACGCGCTGCATGGGGCAGGTACCGGTACAATAGAACCACAGAGAGACTTCTTGATTTTAAGCAGAAGCGTGCGATCGCTCGCCGTGTCATCCGTGATGCTAAACGCACTTGCTGGCGAGATTGTCTCCACCATCACTTCTGCTTCCTCTATGAGTGCAGTCTGGAAAAAAGTACGAAAACTGAGTGGTAAATATTCTCCTGACCCGGCTCCTGTTCTGCGGGTTGCCGGTGTTAATATAGCAAACCCACTAGATGTTGCCAATGAAATTGGCAATCATCTGGTCCGTATTTCTCAGGGACTCCATCTATGCCCCTCATTTCTTTCCTCAAAGTCTGCCAGAGAGTTAGCACCCTTGGACTTTTCTTCTCTCAGAGAAGAACAGTATAATGTGCCTTTTACACTTCAAGAACTGGAGGCAACACTCTCAGCTTGCCGATCATCGGCAGCTGGGCCCGACAACATTCATATTCGTATGCTACAACATTTACATCAGTCAGCCCTTGCAGTCCTATTACGCCTTTACAATCTTATTTGGTCACAAGGAGTTCTTCCACAGCTGTGGAAATCCGCCATTGTTCTCCCTTTCCGCAAACCAGGCACTATGGGACATGGAACCTCCCACTATCGTCCCATTGCTCTTACCAGTGCAGTTTGCAAAGTGATGGAACGCCTAGCAAATAGACGTTTAGTGTGGTATTTAGAGACACACAACAGTCTCTCCACTCGTCAATATGGCTTTCATAAGGGACGTTCTACCATAGACCCCTTACTATGCTTGGATACGTATGTTCGTAATGCCTTTGCGAATAACCACTCAGTTATTGCCATACTTTTTGACCTTGAGAAGGCATATGACACAATTTGGAGGTATAATATTTTAGCCCAAGCCCACTCCTTAGGCCTTCGGGGCAATCTACCATCCTTCCTTAAGAACTTTTTAACTGACAGGCATTTCCGTGTTCGGGTTAATAATGTGCTCTCC